CCAATTAAAAATTGAATCATTGGTTTTGATTAATGGGAATATCACAGAGAAACACATTGCCTGAAAATACAGCTGTTAGGGGTCTATACCCTTATGTAAATGACTGTTGTAAGAAAGAGCTAATTTTGCTGACAAGTTTCCATCACCGTGATGCAATTGTGTTCAGTGGCTTTACCATGCAGAGCTTAGCATGAAAATTTCATCCCTTAGGTCTCCTTCCTCTGTAACAAGGATTACAGGCTTTGCTCAGGGCCTGTGGAAGTCACCGATGGGGGTACTTGTGGCATTTTTGTCCTTGAAAGATTTGACCCATGACCCATCTATATAATACAATATAGATGTATTAATTTGCATCTATAGTCTGACACAGAAACATCATTAGGTTAAAACAGATACCCTTCCCCAAAGCCCTGGCTGGATGTGCAGAGTGCAGACTGTAACGATGTCACTGTTCACACTTTTGCAGTTTACTGACTTTTGGACAGCAAAAGGTGATTAATCTGTTTCTATGCAGATGAATACTAAAAGCTCAATATCTGTTCTAAGCTAACGCCTCAGTGCCATGATGTTACTTTGTACCAATTGCTGTATTTGATTAAACAGTAAGCTTAAGCATTTAATCTGAACTTGTTGGGGTTTTTTGGGTTTGTTGTTGTTTTGTTGGGGTTTTTTTACCATTAGTGGTTCAGCATTTAGATGCTGAGTCCTATCCAACACAACTCTTCTGAAGAGGCTGAGACAAAGGGAGAATTTACAGTAAGATGTACAGCACAAAACTCCCACTGCTGTAGTTTCAAAACCTGGATGGTTCTTGGCACCTCTGCCCCAGCAAAACTCTCCCTGCAGCTAATGGTAGGAGCTCAGCACTGCATGGGACTGTGCTTGCAGGTGACAGAACTGGGTCCCAGAGCAAGACAGCTGCTGCAAAACAAGCAAGCTCTGCTCTTCCTTGTTTGAGTCTGAGTCTTAAGTGCATCTCGAGGGTGGTCCTCAGCAAAGCCGCTCTGATGAGGAGCTCCCAAGCTGGGCTGCACATTCCTGCAGCCTGGTACAGCATGAAAGGCCTGAAGGGCTGGTGTTAGTGGATTAAGGAAAGATTTCATTTCCACAGGAAGATCAATAAAACAAAAAGAGATGGGAGGAAAGTGGACAGGGTGGGTGACTGATGCACAGTGGGGCTTGGCAATTCAAGGCGGGGAGCGGGAGCCCACTGACAGGGACATTATGCCCGCATGACAGGGGCAGGCCACTGATGTCACTCACGGCTCCTCAGGTCCCTTCAGGACCCCAGTTTGCTGGCACATTTTACTTAACTCATCTGACTGGCACCTGCCTTTGAAAGGTGAGCTCAGCTGGGGCTAGTGGGTGGCAGAAAATGTCCATTTGGGGTTCAGCCTTAAATAGAGAGGAAGGATCAGAAATCAACACACAGTTCTCTCCTCAGGATCATGTATTCCTGACCTCATCTCTGGGAGGACAGCGATGGTGCTCAGGAGTCTTTCCAGTCTCCATCCCTGTACTCCAGGCATGCACAGATCTTTTGGCAGCTGCTAACACGGTCATCACAGGCAAAACCAGATGCAAGGGAAGCACAGAGTACACCTCATGCTGATGCAGCACCTACTTACCTTCTCCCCTGGGGTCACTGAGATCCTCCAGACACAGTGGGAATAGGAGGGGTAGCCATTTGGAAAACCAGGAGCTGAGAAATTGCCTGTTGAGTCCTGCAAGGTCTCGCCACAAGCTGCGAGAGAGGGGAAAAAAACAGCAACAAAGAGTGACCCTCAGAAAGATACCAGGGTCTATTCAAATTGTTTGCACATGGCTGCTGCGTGCGGGTTGGTGTCTGGTATTCTAAGGATGTTCATTCATGGTACTGGCCAAAAGTCATTGACTACCTTAGACCTTGCCAAAGGGGTGATGTGAAGTTTGTCAAGATTCCCAGGATATAAGATTATCAATGCAATGACACAGGGGATATGGGTTTTAAAAAGGCACCTTCATCTTCCTTCCACGTGCCAGCACTTTTAGGTTTCAACCTACTGAGAAATATCTCATCCACTAATCAAATGCAAAATATTAACCACACCCCACATCGCAATACCAAGACTGTTAGCAAATCTGTTTTTCCTTCATTAAAAGCTCTTAACGAAGTTCTCCTTAGTTACAATTGTTAAGTGTCTTTTTTTTTTTAAGTTATAGCATCCTAACAAATGCAGGGCAAGCCCCACTACACTCAGGCTTCAGCTGTCCAGCACCTACCCTGCTGTCACACTGTGCTGGATAAAACATGAGCACTGCAGCTTGCTCTGCTCCGCACCTTCCTGTTTTGTGGCCAGCTGCAGTTGATGAAATGTAGATCCCAGAGTGACTTTTGGGAAGCCAGTAACATACGCACACATATGCTCCTTTTGGGGAACCACAGCTTCCAACATCTGGGAAAGCTGCGACTACTGTAATTCCTGCTTTCTGAGACAGGAGGACTGAGCTGGAACAAGCAGTGTCCATCTACATCCGCAGAGCAGCTGACTGGTTAGGTAGGAGGATCACAAATATCAAAGCTCCCATTTCCTTCAGAGTGCTCACTAGACACATGCAAATACCCATTGCAAGGAGCAGCAACCTTGGCTTGCCCGATTTCCAGTTGTTTTTTTCTAAGTTCATAGCCTATTGATGTTACAAAGCTGCCCTTGACCTGCAACTTGGTTTCCTCAGTGACAGTAAGGCAGCTCCCAAAAATCCCTCATTAAGCAGCAGTTCTTTGAAAGATCCGACAAGGCCAAACATCTGGCTCCCTTTCTCATGGAAATGTCAGGGGATGTTCCTCTGCCTGATGCTATCACACACTCGCTAATTTTTCAGCCATGATCACATTTAGATGGGCGGGTCGGAAGTTGGAGGTGAAAAGAGACTGGTTCCATTCAAAAGTGTAATATCTTCAAAAAGGGGAGAGGGAGTCACCTAGGCCAGAAATTCTTCATTTCCCTGAAGCTGTTTGACCCACAGCTTGACAGGTCAGACTAGATGAACAATAGGCAGGGACACAAAAAGGGGTTTTGCTCAACCAAACAGCTCCTAGGGGCAATCTGGAAGGTGGAGTCACTCCTAAGAACGAGTTGCACATTTCAAGACACAGGTCAGCATGGGATCTGGCAAAGTGATTCCTGTCAAGGAAGCCAAAGGTATTTTAAACTAATCAAAAAAAGCACCACTAAGCAAAACAGGCAGGTAAATGTACGCATCTGCTCCAGAGGAATGAAGGAAATAAATCAGAGTTCAAAACCTCTACACCGCTCCTTCCTTCTCAAGCAGTTTTGAACCCTAAGATCTCTCTCTACCATTATGCAACTACAAGGGAGCATTTCACAGCAAGTTTTAGTTTCAAAGTATTCTGCAGAAATAGCTAAAATCCTTCTGCCTCTCCCAGCATGTTTGGCAGGTGATGCTGTCTGTATTCTTCAGGTGGGCAGAGAGAGGCTTGCAAAACCTGATGGCCTGCATGAACTGGAGAAGAAATCTGGACTTCTATTTGCAGAAAAAATGCACTTTCTTCCCTTTCCACCTCTTGGCTTGCCTCATTAGCTGTACCAGAATCTGTTAGGACAATTTCAGCTCCCAGGATGCTCCTAGGACCCTCAACCAAGAAACACATGCTGCTCCAGCAGATAAACTTCTTGAAGAAGCTGAATCCCAGCCATATTTATTCTGAGCCTGTCACCACTGCTGGTCAATGGTCTGGAGTGGTCACCACCTTAGGATGGCTCTAGGAATGCCAACATCTGAAGAGGGGATTTCAATCCATAACTCACCAAGATATATAAACATTCTATTTCCCTGCTCAAAAATCTATTTAAACAAATATTAAATTATAAAGAGAGCTCTAAATCACTGGGAACACATACTACATTACCATAATGACATAGGACAAAGAGGATTACTGCCCTCAGCTGAATCACAGTGAAGGTTTCCAACAGCCTTGACTGAATTCTCCTAACTGTAATTACACAGTACCTTGCAAGACTGTGTAATTATGGAACAGGTACTAAAATACTTGCCACCAAACACTACTCTGCTAAAACATCATGAAAGGAGACCTAGCTAACTATCCAAACCTTGCAGAGGAAACTCTCCAGACACGCTGGGAGAGGCTGGCCTTTCAGCACAAAGGAGACTGATTGCTTGTGTAGGGAGAAGCAGGATAATAACAAGCAATGCATATTTGTATTTAGAGCACAGTATCTTGCAGAGCACACCGATAAGCAATACAAATCTACTCCACCTAGTAGCAAAGAAGCCAATAGGTCCAATAAGATTAGTGTTTGGTACTTCTGGGATCCAAGAAACAGAGCTGAGGTGGTTTTCACATGTAAGCAGCTAGAAAGGAACAGAGGCAAAAAGCATAGCAGGAAAGGTGAACGCTTCAGGAGTCATTTGTAGATGAAGTAGTTGAATGACAGGCACTTACTGCTCACCAGCTGGTTACTGGTACACAACATCTTTTTGAAGCTGAACACAGAATTGGATGAGATTACATAAATGCAGGACCATTCTCAATTCATAGTTTAACCATTCCTGCACAGTTAGCACAGCCACACAGGCCTGTTTCCTTTCACACACCACAAGACTGCAGGATATGCTGTTTTAAAGTCTTTTATAGTTACTATACTCATCAAATCCTCAACCATGCAGCCATATCAAATCTAGTATTTACCACTACGCAGCAGAATGCATCTTGCCTTCCAGAAATTCCTTCAGCAAATTTCATCTGATTTCACCTGGCTTGGCACTAACCTTAACCCAGCAGTTATAAGCTTTGGGGAATTAAGAGTAATTTAAAACAGCAGGGTTTTGGAATGGGAAGCTAAGACAGCCCTAACTGTAGCAGCCACAAGAGCTCCAGTCTAATGAGTTGGAGAGTCGTGTTTCTTACAATAGACACAGCAGTTGTTCTGGCTCATACCATTGCACACTTGTAACTCATCCTCCACCATGCAAGCTCTTTTTGAGGGGATTTTCTTAGGCATTTTCATATGGAGACTCTTTCTAAAAGGGAAACCATTTGCCATTAAACTCCTAGACTATGTTGTTGCATTTTACATAAAAATCCTCAGCTTGGCTACTGAACAAAGCTGTCCTCCACTTAAAGTCTCATTCAGACCCTGCTTGAACATACAACTGAAGTCCTTTGGTTTTGGACTCCTGTGCTTTGCATTCTGCAGAGGAAGAGAACTTTTCAAGCTACAGATTCAAATGGCAGCTGAAGATGTTCATGTAATTAAATGTACTGCACTCTTTCTCCTCAATTGCAACCTGGGTATAAATTTTGATGCAAAGAAAAAAAAAAAAACAAACCAAAACAATAGCAATTTGAAGAAAAAATATTTAGTAGGCTTAAAACTCTAATAATTCTGCTGCCAAATATTTTCTGAACTGCAATAACCTCTGCTTTGTGGAAAAAATGTAAAAAGTTGAAAAGTTCTACTTTGCAGGTGGAAAACTTGAAACTCAGAAGGGTCCTCATTTTAAGAAAGTTGCTTTGTAGCTTTTAGTTTGACTTTAACCTCAGGACAAAGTGGCTTTTCAGCTTGCCTCAAGAAATCTGAGTCCGTAGTCAATGTTTCCAGCTATGGGAATGAAAGGTCTGCTTGGATTAAGTCTGACTCCATCAAAAAATATAGTGCAAGATATCCCTTTTTTTTTTTGAGTATTCAAATGAACAGATCCCTAAACTAATCTGTGAGATAATTTTCCAAGAACTACATCTTGTTCAACCAAAAGCAAGAAAATTATGAGTGGTAAAAAAGAAAAAAAATGTTAGTTAGAACTGGCGCACCTAAGAAAGTTGTATCACTCACTATAAGCTAAGCAGTGATCCCCAAACATCACAGACCCCAAAGTACTGTTGATCCTCATAATTTATTCTAGACCCTTGTGAAATCATACTCTGACCTGTAGCTGGATACAGAGAAGAAGCAGATCTGTACACCACCTATCAACCATTTTCCATGGCCTCATGAATGGTTCACAGAGCAGTGCTAGCCAGCTACTCACTAAGATGTGACATACTCCTAAAACTTATCTCTCCTCCTCACCTTTTCCTCTCTGTGATGTGCTTATTCCAAGAGGATTAGTCATTAGATTGCATTAGGTTTATGATCAGTCAAAGCCACTCTCAATGGGATCAACAGGCTGGCCAGGCCAATCCATTTAGATAAACTCCTGGTCCATACCTGCAAAAGTCCTTTTTTTCATTTTTCAAATGTTACAGAATCAATCTGCAGAATTAGGGTAACTCTCTAATTCTCCAGTATCTTCACATGAATGTTTCACTACCAGTAGAAAGTCAACAGAGCTTGTTAAATTTTCTCCCTCCAAGCATCACACCTTCCATGCCGTCTCCCTTCTCAGTTTCTGGAGCCCACGCTACAGGTATCAGACTGGGTGCCATCTATGCCTCTCTTTACATCCTCACATTCAACCTGTCCTTAAGGCTGGCAGATTTCATCCCTGGAATCTGTTTTTCTCTATTAAACTATTCAGCTAAAACTGTTGCATAAACTTTCACTAATATCTCCAGTTTAAAAGGATCTCTTTGTTCTGATGGGTAAATTTAGTCTCCCAATCATGTATGTGACCCCTGTGTTCTTTTTCCAATCTTTTCAGACCCCAGACAAAGCAAGAGTCAAGACTGTGACTCTTTAGTACACCACGTGTATGTAGATAGGTTCACTATCAAAGCTCTTCCCAGTCTATCAACCCTTTTACAGTAAAAAGAGGGGTACAGCTGTCCCCTGAACAGCCCAAAGCATCAGCTTCCAGCACATGGTTGTTTCATAAATCAGCATCTTCGGGCTTTCTTTCATGTTATTTCCCGAGCCTCAATGCAACACACCATAATCACGGAGACACACTTAGTGTTTCCTGAAGGCTCATCCCTGGGATAACATCTATATAAATAACTCAACACAAGTTTGACAGTTGGTGTGCAGAGACCCTGGTTTACCAGATATCCCTCTGCCACTTCACTCTGTCCATGACCTTGTACATCAATTCCATTTTCTATGAACAGAGCCTACACCTTTAATTCTGGCTAGTATATTTACATGAAACCAACGGCAAAACACAAGCCTCATCCTAGCCCCTCTCCCAGCTTACTCTGCAGCTCCTCTTACTAAGTTTCAGTAGAGAACACTGGACAAATCTGAAGCCCTAAACCAAACAGGAATACTTGCAAAATACTAATAGGAGACACATGTTAGGCAAGATCAATTTGCACACAGCTCCAACTTGAAGCATTTGATAGTCTACATTTCCTGAGTCCCTTTCATCAAAGGGATTGTTAAGGTGCTCTTGAACTCCAGTGCCTTCCAGATAAACCATGTGTATACAATAAAGCTGGAGCCATCTCCACAAGCCATATTTACCTGGGCATTTGTACAACTTCCTTGCCTGAGCGATGTCTCCCTGACTCAGGCGAATACGCTGACCAATAGTTGGCCGGACCCCGTTATCATCACGACGGGGAAGGATGGTGTCGAGGAAAACTCCTCTAAAGGGAAGAACAGAAAGACAAAGAGCAGTGAAGTAGGAAAAGTGACACGATACACAGAAAGTCATCCTGGCAGGCCTCCCACACCATCCCCTTGACCATATATTCCATGCTAACAAGCAAGAGTAATGCAGATTGTGATAACCATATGTCTTGAGGTGGCCTTCTCACTATAGCAGACAGCTTCCAAATGTACAGGCAAGTCTGCCAAGCCAGTAAATTCCTCTTTTGATATATCAAGATTGCTGCTGCCTCTGTTTGAATATAGGCACATTCCTTGCCATAAATCAGAAAAAGCAATGAAATATCTTTGCAGAAGGTTCATGGCACATCTGGCTCAGCAGGAGCACAGATTGGACACTTCAGCCAGAGAAGCAGAGGGAAAGGAAGTTTGTTCAGTAGCAGATGGAACTGGGTTGGCAGTGACTGCAGTTGCCACAGACAAGAGAAAGATAAAAGTGCCCTACCTTTGTTCTGGATGAGTTTCCAAGTTAATAACTCCATTTCTCTCTACCTTTTTTCCTTGTTATTTCTTCCATGCGGTACTTCATACTCAGGAGCTCTCTACTGCACTTCTGATCTCAGTCCAGAAAAGGATTTAAGCTCACTTCCGTCAAAATGCAAAGGTCTCGCATCCAAGCAAGAGCTGGCACACAAGAGATACCCTAAGGCAACATTAGGACTGCAGGGCTGAAGTGGGAGGGAGGAATCAGAAACCTGACCTTCAGGCTGGTAAAGTGGAAGCTCTCACAGTCAGGCTGTCTAGTCCACAGAAAGCATTTCACTGCATCCCTGAATATCTAACAGGCTTGGAGGTGCCAAGGATAACAGTGAGCTTGAAACTTCAGCATCAGCTCTGGGAAGCAGACTTCTCTTTCTGAAGAACAGGATACAACTGTCTGTAGAATCCAATGGAAAATCAGGACAGAAGCAATAATTTTAGGGCTGCCTATTCCCAACACAAGAGTCTTCAAGTATGGGTGAAGCTCTAAGTACGCAAGTAATTCTGTTTGTTGGGCTGCTCAGCTGCATAAGAGCCTTGGGAAGGAGTTTGAGAGGGGATTTTGTATTAGTTTAATTTTAAATAAATACTGTGAGCAGAGTATTTGGATCACAGTTGTCCAGAGGTGCAGCCAATATTCTTGAACAGAAAATATCATTCTATTAAACATACTTTGTGGTGGAAAATTATTTTGTAAATACTCAAACTGAAGGAAGAAATAGAGGGGAAGGAGTTTAATATGTTTTAAAAACTAGAATCATCTCTTGCTTTAGGGATGTTGGGGTTTCTTCAGTGGTAGGAAAATTCCTGATTAGCACTAAAAATCAGTGCTTACAAGTTCTGAGGTAAGCCCATCAAATTTTGATTGACAAATTCAGGCTGGCATTCTACATGCCAGCTGCATGCCTCAGGCTGAACTCAATATTTAAGTTTATATATCAAAAATAAATCCTCCAATTCCAGAAACACCATGAACAGAGAAACAGGTCATTTGCTCACAGTAAGTTTTCAAGCCTCATCAGGAGTTCACAGAAGAACTCAGCATTTGTCAGGGACATACTTTTGTGGCCAGTGAAATGTTTTATGCAGATCTCCAGGCTCAGCCAGGGAAGAATTACAAAGTTTAATAGAGAAACCACTACTTGCACACTCAAACTTTTGATTCTTTTTTCCCATTCCAGCCCTCATGGCTGCATACTCACAGCTCCCAGCCTCCTGCACAGAGCATACACCTAGGGTCTTGCTCACACAAAGGAAACAACTCACAGCTTTAAATTGTGATCCCTTAGTACCTGCCAAACACATTTTCTTCCTGAACGCTGTAACCTAGGTTGGGACAGTAAGATTTCTGGGTTTGCTTTTTCCACCAACTGAATTTTGTGCTTCTTTCACACGCATTGCTGAACCTGACTCCAAATTAGGGGGCAGTAAGTATAGTTCCTCTCATTTTACAAAGGAACTGAGAACAGAAGAGAGTCTTTCTGGCCTAAACCACACAGGTCCCAGCAGTCCCATGCTGTACACCCAAACACCATACAACACTTTATGGTGTTAAGTTGCATGTTTGGTGAGTGTCTCTGAGAGCATTGATACTTTGGCTCACAAATTAATAAACACCAAGCAGACATCACTAAACAGAGCAGCTCAGGCACTCTAACACCAGTACTGTTCTTGAATAAATACTTGACCTCTCCTCCCAGAGGTAGAAAAAGAGCCCAGGAATCCTGGATGCCTCATTCTCCTGCTTGGCATGGGCAGAGTGTACAGTAGCTGCCCAATGCAGTGGTAAGTCAAGCACGAAAACCCACCATTGCTACTAGCTAAGAATGACAGAGTTTAAGCAGAGATGCTCTCAAGAGTCATTAGCACTGCATCGTATCCTGAGCGTGTAAAGTGTTACATAAATGTTATGGAACTATCAACTGATCTTGAGAAATGCTGAAGATTTACCATCCCATCTGAAGGCAACAGATACAAGTGCTTAAAACACCACTCAAGAAAGCAGATGTTCAAGGCAGGTTAAGCACTTAGCTACAGGCAGCTACATTTTGTCCCAACTCTGTTATTTATATCCCCATCTGCAGAGGAGAGACAACATAACCCTACTTCACACAGTAAAACCTGTGGAGTATGCAAGTGCCATGTGTATGTATCTTCTGCAGGATTAGGATGGCATATTGCCAATACATCAAGAAGATGCCCCTTGACATGCAGACAGTGCTACCTGCACCCTAATTCAAACACAGGCTTTGCAGAGCTCATGTTTTGCTGTGCTGCCATGCCTACTAGCAAGAGACTCAGTGAATTAAGCTAACCCACTATTTGCTTAGGACTCTGTGGAGGTTTAAACTTTCTTATTGCTAAGCTGCCATTTATGGGTCTTGACAGCCATAAAATAAATTGTTTAATGAGACAGCAATATTCAATTTAATTTGCTGCCATGTCTGTAAGGAATGCATTGGGAAATAAAAGCCTGCAGCCATACTCTGCAAAACAGGCAGCTTTCTGAGATAGACGAGAACAGAAGTTCCCATGGTAAAAACTTGTTACTGCCATCATTGTTGTCCCTTTCTGTCCTAGGTATAAATTTTAGAATAAAAAGGGCCTAGGATCTGCAGCAGCATTTGACCATGGCAAACACCATCTGATTTGCTATCATCAATATTCACCAGGAGTCATAAACAAGGTTGTGCTAAGTGCCACCTAAGAGCTGATTCAAGACAATGAGTCACAGACACGGCTCTGTATCTTTCACCTCCTCTTCACTCACACACCCCTTCTCCACTGGTTGGGTGCTCAGACCATCTTTTTCCTATGTGGACTTTCTGATGTATGCTAACGAACTAACACACCCACTACAGCTCTTCCCTTAGCAGCATCATGCAGGGGCTATCTCCTATTTCTAGTCACTGGTCTTAATGAGACATGCTGGAACTTAATGCTTTCATGGGCTCTATGTTTTTATCAGTCGGGTTGCAATTGACCAGCAACCACAAAACTCAGTAAGGTGGGAAGGAGACATGCCTACATGCACAAATCTCTACTGATTGGTCAAGGTAAGCATGGTTCCCTTAGGGCAGCAGATGTCAAGATAGGTCTTGGTAAAGTAAAAGCCTGTTCCCAGCACTGCCTATTTACGGTGAGAGCACAATCAGCCCACAGAGGCACTTAGTGCCCAGTTCAATTACTGCACAAAGAGTGCTACTGGGGTGAGGGTGGGTCACAGAAACAAAGGGCTTAAAGAAAACAGAATTAAAAATCCTATTAAGCACCAATTCAAATTTAGAAGGACTCTTGCCATTTTTATCCCTTTTTGGCCCAGCAGTGTTCTGAAGGACCCTGGTTTACAAGAGACACAGACTCAAAGGCATCCACAATATAAATGGCAGTAATAACTTAATCCTGCTTTTGTGCAAGACAATTATAACCATTTATAGTCTAGAAAATCCTGGAAAGGTCCAGCAGATGCCTCAAGAGAAGAAAAACTGTTTGCTTTGAGTATCTGATCCAAAGAAATTTCTGAAGGCTGCAAAGCACCCTTGCTCAGCCACCATCTCCCACTGCCAGAACAAGCAGCATTTCAGCAAGTTTGATCGTTTTCCCTTGGTTGATGTGAAGTGTTAGAAACAAAAGCACAAAACAATAGGCTTGGCAATTCCATACAACTAGAGAGTAAGAAAACTAAAAAAGCCCCAAGGACACATGTAATTTTTGCAACAAAAAGTTCTCAAGAGTGTGAATATTTGTGCTCTGCCTCCCATCCCCTTTACTCACAGCATGTAGTGAATGAAAGCTCTTAGGAAGGAGCATTAGTGGGATTTATAGAAAAAACTTCAAATAATGCAGCAAAATTGAACTAGTCACCCAGTAGCTCTCATTCCAAATCCAGGACATAACTATGCTCATTTCCCCTCTTTATCTAGTAGAGCTGTCTGATCACAAAATGGGCTCCATCTGGAGGGATGAGATGGAAGTCAAAGGCAAACAGCCTACACAGAAATTGGCCAGCTAGTCAGAACAGGAACAGGACTGAAAATTTCTCCATGAAGAACCCAGAATCACAGAGCTGCAGAGGCCATGATCTAAAGTACATGCATAAATGGTTAAAAAAGTAGCCAAGCAATTAAAGATCATGATCTAGACTTTAAATTCTCCCTTGGGAAAGTTGCCAGGGATTCGGAAGGCAATATTGTGACCCTAAAGCATGAGCTAGACAACCAAGAGATTCAAAGGTGTTTTGAGATCACTGCAAGTGCCACATATCTCTGCAATAGATCACAGGTCTCCTTCTAGGCTCCATGTATCTCACAGAGCTAATCACAACTACTGAAGATAGTCCAAAGGACATGTAACTTTGGATTCTCACCTGGAGAATGTGTTCCTAGCATAATGCATGATGCTGTCGAAGTCATAGGTCTCTCCCAGCGAGTTCACTTCCCCAGCTTCCATCTTTAAAAAGTTGTACTCCTGACCTGTAATGCCAACAAAGGCAAAAAAACAATTTATTTTTTTTTTTTAAAGGTTTTTTTTTAAAGTTTTAAAAAAACTTTTTAAAAGTTCTGGGAGCCTAGAATGAAAGGGATATACTCCTACTTTCCAAAAATTCCACCTGAACATCCAAAATCTCTATTCACCCAAATATTTTGGCCCTCATTCTAGACAAGGCCTATCAATATTTCTGCTCCATCCCGGCTCATGGATCACTAGGGTTTTCCACAAATCCAGCAAGAAAGGTTTCCACCCATCCAAAAGTCAGGTGGAATAACCTGAAGTGCCATTTTACCTTGCTGTATGTTCTCTCTGATGATTGTGACATGCTGGTCCCTGTCAGGCCGTGTGTGCTCATGCCAGAAACCCACTACATGACCCAGCTCATGAGCCACAATACCAAACTTGTCACAGTTCTTCCCAATGGATATAGCCTGAGGGCCTCCTCCTCTGCGACCCACATATGAGCAGCATCTGGAAAAGAAAACCAATGCAGCACATCAATTAAATGGGGAAGTTTGAGACATAGCAACAGGAGATGGCATCTGGCAGGGTGCAGGACAGGTTACCAGTTGCATATACTATATGTACTTAGATGTGTGTGTGTGTGTACGTATAAAGAAAACACATCAGTACACATCTATAAAAATACCTATATACACTTAAGTATTATCCCAGGAAAAAAATTCCAGAAAGGCTTAGCACCTTGTTCTGAGCAAATATGAAGTTATCCCGGCGAATCTTACAGAGAGTAAGGATGGATCTCTATGACAGATTCCCCAATGTAGTAATTGGTTTATTCCAACCAGAGCTAGACTCACAAAGCCATCTATCAATGAAAGGGATGTCTGCAACACAGCTAGGTGCAGGGAATTTGTGTATCACTTACCCGCATGTTCTGTATGTGAACACAATGAAACTCTCTTCATCTGTTCTCTCCACAAATGTCACACAAGTGTGTTTCTCCCAGTGCCTCATTGCTTGCTTAAAGATAGCTCTTTGGGTTCCTGAAAAAAGAAATCGAAGAGCAGCCAACAGTGAAGGCCTGGCTTTCACGAAAGTCTCTAATGGACTTCATCTGGATAGGTGAACAGTCAATCCTATACCTGTAGACACCTCCAGGAATCTGGGACCCACTTCCTATTATAGGATGAATGTACTGTATCATACTTTAACCTCCTTCTGTTTGATAAACTAATTGCTCTAATTAAACAGGCATCAAACTTGGTTAAGCACATCAATACTTCTGCATATGAGAAATGTCACCACACTAGGTAGAGGTCATTCTGACAGAGCTCCTGGTTGTTCTGATCTGTGCACCAGCTACTCAGTGGTGTGACAAGTTTCCTCTTATCCTGCAACATAACATGACTACAAACAGCTTTCAAGATCCAAGAATCTCCCGAGAGTTATAGATGTTCCTCAAAACTAAGACAAAACTATATTCAGGTATTTAAAATTAGAAGCAAAAACTGTATAGGAGCTAGAGGCAGTCTCAGGGAAGTGTAAGAAGGTAGAGAGATACACTGCTGCTCTGCACTTGAACTGAGGGACAGCGCAGGACTCGCACAGAGAAACACCTGAGAAGCAGGGTATTATGCCTGTTGCACACTAGCAAGAAGACAGGCCACAGGACCACTGGAGCAGCATACCTCCCAGTGGTCACTGAGCAGCATCCAGAACAGTCACACAGCTGGGAAGCAATTCCCCAGAGCAGCACACAGCCAGGAGGCTGCCCTACACTGCCTTTCCAGCATAGCTTCTGGTACACACAGGGCTGCAGAGCAAGCTGCCATTCTCCAGAGGGACTAGAGAGGGGGGGAGGCCAGAAGTACACCAGAAAGGCACCAGGGATACAGACAGGAGCTCCAGGGAGGGATTAAGCTGAGGCAAAAGCCCAAGTTGAATGCAAGAGACAACTGTGCTATGACGAGAGCTGCTTCTTACACAGTCACCACCCAAAGGGAAGGGTGGTATTACCCACTCTGGACTGCTTAGGGCAGTGGGACACACATTACACAGAGCAGACTTTCTCATCAGACCCTAAGGGATGAGGATGGATGTTCTCTGACAAATGCAGGGGGACAGTTGTGGCTAGCAGGCTACTCAATACCCTGTCAGGTTGCATGAGCCCCTCCTTTTGTAGGAGATGAACAGACCCTTCCACTGGAGCTTCCCAGACTCCTGGCAGCAGTGCGGGTGCCAGAATAAGATGGGGTCTGAGTGAACATGTTAAAAAGGTCTTGAGGATCACCCCAAACTAGCAGGAGGAGCAGGACTAGGGAGGCAAACCCACACTGTACAGGAGTGGTTCCCAAACTGCCCTTTGCTGCTGGGCCGAAGTACGTCACAGGAGCTCAAAGGAATAAGTTCTGCAGGATCTAAATGGGAGATGGTGGAGGCAGCCTGGGGGAGACAGGAAGGAGCTGGCTCCAGCGAGGCACAGAACATTTGTTATCCATGAGTCAAGGAAACCAATCCTATGGGCAACCACTGAGCTACAGAGAGGTGGTATCAAATAAAGTTATTCGTCTGCTTTGCACGAGAGACTTGCAAAAGATCTGCTGCACCCCAAGAGACATCTTAGTTTGGACAGTGCCCTGGAGATGCTATAAATATCCTAAAAAGGATACTTTGGAGAACTCCTTATCCACCGTGGGACATGGCTCACTGTTTCTCTCCCTCACACAGCTAGAGGAGACCCTGAAGCTTGGTACACAGCAAACAGCAGGTGAGGAAGCAGAGTGCACAGGGAAAGTTCTCTGAGTGAGACTTCAGAAAGCAATTCACTGTACTTCTGCTCCTGCTCTTCCAAGAGCAGAGAGGGTCCCTTTCTGGAAACACAGAGTATGAATGCAGCTCACAAGTGCCAGCCCCTGAAGCAATCAAGAAAAGTGACCAAGTCGCCCAATTATTTCTTGGAATCCAAGAGAAGAACCATCTCACTGCACACTTCAGTCTCAGGCTTCAGCAGTGCACAATTCCTGTGCAACCACGTGCCCACCCTGTCTCAGTAGAGAGGCTCCCAAGGACCTGAGTCATTTATGGGAAAACTCGGTTCCCAAGGTCTCCCACACATTCTGAAACACTCACCCCCGAGCAAACAGGGAGCAACATTTTCACTACTGACCAGTGAAATTTCCTCCGATCACATAGGGGATGACCCCCCCTGGCCAGATCCTCTCAGCCCTGGATGTGGTTGCTCTGCGCACTCTGGGAGAAGAATGTCTATCCATCCCAGACTCATCTTTATATTCCTTCCTCTTCGATGTCCTCGCAAGTGTTGTGTTCTGCCTGCCATCTGCAAGACAGAGTGGCAACACTGTTTAAGTCCTCTTTAGTTCCACATGCAGCCCTCAGGTAATACCCTGGAGCTTCAGAAAAAGAAAAACAGAAAAAGCAAGATGTTAACCCAAACCAGACGCCATAGCCAGATTCGCCAGTGATTTGTTTGGGACTCAGAGACAGTTAATCTGTAGCAACCTGTCCCTTCTTGCCTTGGAGCCTCCCTATGCACTATGTCAAACCTATTCTCCCAGAGGGGTATGAAGGGACACCTGCCCTATCTCTAGCCACACACTCTCTCCAACAGCAACTTCATAGATGGGGACACAATACTTAAATGGGGGAAATGGGAGGATGGCGGTCAAACAGGCACAGATGTCACGGTATATTCTCAACCTGCCCTACTCATCCAGATCTGCAGAGAAAGTTTTGTTCTGGCAGGGCTAGCTTCACAACAGCAACAACTAATCATTTGAGTTGGCCTTGGAAGAAAAGGACAGGTCCCTTAGACTGAAACCTATACTCAAGGCTGAAAAGTATTACATAAAAGTGTTTGTTTTCATATGCTAGGTCTCTGGTGGTTTGGAAACATATACAGAACAGCCAGTCTCTGCTGGAGGAGAGATGCTCAGGGTGGAAAAGCTGAGGTATTCTATACTTAGCACAAATGTCCATCCATGCTGAATCTTTTAATTTTAATGGAAAGGAGCAAATGTGTATAGCATGCTTGAAGAAGCACTGCTTACAGTCACTGCCACGTTGCATGCATGGAGAGGGTTTCTTCAGTGAAAGATAAAGCCATGCAGCCTTTCTAATGCTAAGTCTAACTGGATTTAGCCTCTCTTACTGACTTATACTATTGCTAAGCCTGGGATAACCGAGACCTTTCCTAAAATCCCCCATCCCTCCATGACAAACAATACTCAGAGGTTTCTGCACACCAGCCGTGGGTGGGAGACTCCTTACACTGCCCACAGCCCATGCAGCACTCCATATCTGCAGTGTGCCATGAAACAGCCCCTTCTGCTCTCTGAAACTCACTCAGGGGTCTCCCAGTCTCATCTGGCCAGCAGACACAGTTCAGCTTTATACCAGCAGCAGCACCAGCCCATCTCTAAGTGGAAAACAGCAGAGAGAAGCACCAACATAGAAACACCTTCCTCAAGCGCTCTTGCCCACTGCCTCAGGCCTGCCAGCAGCTCAGGAGACATAAGAAGCTCTGATAAGGAAATACAGCACTGAGCTATGAACACAGCAGTCATGAGTGCAAACATCCCCACCCTGGACTGACCTACTGCATGGTCTCTCTTCCTCAGTGCCTCTGTCTGCACATGGGAAACAACAGTGCCTCCTGCACACAGTGAGTTGCAAACATCTTGTATAGAGCAGGGCAACCCTGTGGAAATGCCAGTAAGATCACGGGTCTGGTAATACCTCACCTACATGAGTGGCAGAAGACAACTACAAAACTTGGCCTGGGTGATTCCTACAGCAAGGAGCAGCCAGCTATCATGACACTCTCTGCCTTGGAATAAAACAGCTGCTCTCCCTGACAGTCATGACTACCTGTACATACTGGGTCTGGCTGGGATGGAGTTCACTTTCCTCATAGCAGCCCATGAGGTACCTACTATGTTTTGGATCTGTGGCTGAACCAATGTTGATGACACACCAATGTTCAGGCTACTGCTGAACAGTGCTTGCACAGCGTCAAGGCTTTCTTATTCTCACTCTGCTGAGCCCTCTCCATTCCCCAAGCAAGTAGAGACAGGATACGCAAGAAGCAGAGAGGATGCAGCTGGGACAGTTGAGCCACATTGGCCAAATGGATATCCCATACTGCCATCATGCTCAGCAATAAAAACTGTGTGGTTTTGTTTTCCAAGGTAGCCATTGCTCAGAAACTGACTGGGGTGAGCAACTAACTTTGTATCACTTGGTTTGGGTTTTTTTCCCTCCTTTTTCATTTATTAAACTGTATCTCAACTAATGAGTTTTCTCACTTTTGCTCTTCCTGTTCTGTCACCTATCCTGCTGGAGGAGGGGATAGTGACCCAGCAGCTGTGTGAGTACTTGGCTGCTGGCCAGGGTCAACCCACCACACTATACAAGGCAAAGTCACCCTTGCAGAGAGTCCACCAACAGCAACAAATGCAGACACCTGGGCAGGGCTGGTCTCCCAGGTACGAAGGCACACACATTTACACAGGACAAAATGTGGTTTTACAGGGGATAAAAAAAGTAAATAAAAGATACCCAAAGGTCAGGGTGGGGTACCACATTACCCTTTTTAACTGCTTTGTTACTGCGATCAGCTGAAGTGGCATTCTCACTTGACACAAGAGACTGTTCTCCCAGGCCTCCTGCAAAGGAAAAAGAGCAGACACATCTCCTGGTGAGTAGGCTGGCAGAGCTCTGACATGGGAAGGACAGCAGCTGTCAGTGATGTCATTTGTGGGTCTGCAGCCATAGAAACTGGCTGCTTTCCTTGTACAGGGAGCAGGGACTAAGAGCCTGATAAAGCTGGGCTCTTTTCCTGGACTTGTTCCCAGCCTACAGTGACATCTTGTAACTCATCACCATCCTGTGTCTTAGTTTCCCCATTTACTGAACAGGCAGAAAGTGTCTTCTAGGGAAGGCTAATTCCACTGAGATTTACTGAGAACAGGAGCTATACAAGGAGGATGGCAGCAACAGTACCACTATTAAATTCCAAATTAAAAAGGTACTCAAACAAGGCAAAGAATGATCTACATTCAGAGCAATGCACTCTTATTAACTCTTATATGTCTGTCCGGAAGTCAGCTTAATCTGAAAAATTCTTCTCTGTGATGCTAATGTCTACTAGCTACCAAAGCAGGAAGAACTCTGATGTTAGTTCCTGGGTATTCCTTGTGCTTCATCCAGCAGCAGCTACCCCTCCCTTTTGGAACAGCACTGCCAAGCACACAGAAGTTCCCAGTTTGTCCATGGAGGTGGCTCCCTCCAGCTCAGTCACCAAAACAAAGCTGGTTGCTCCCACTCTGGGTGCCTCCCTGCCTGGCTTTCCTATTTCCTCCATGGAAAACCAACTCATGATGTTCCCATGGCATGCAAGACACCAGCATGTTGGGGGAGGGATTTGACTGCTTGATGTCACAGCTATTGGGCACAGAAACCACAGCAGTTCCATGGCATCTCTGTACTAGCACCATGCCTAGCCCTCTCCTTTCCTCCAGACAGCACTGCTGCTGCTCCCTCTCCCCACCAGCATGCTCTAGCAGGGTGTTGCTGGCAGCAGGGCGCAGGGGCTGCAGAAGCAACTCCACCAGCTTAGGCTGTCCGGCACACCAAGAGGGCTGAGGGTGCTTGGCACAGCCCAAATCCTCTACCATAAGATGAAGACTCAGGGAGAGATCCTAGCTCCTCAGAAAAGACACATTGGTAGGGAATGGAGACAGAGACCACTGTCTATAGCCCCTACTGGTCTTTTGACCGTTAAGGCACCACAATATTTGGCAATAGCCCAGAACTTGATTTTAGTTTTTCTGATGTATGATGCAGAAATAGGATCTTCCCTCAATACTGGATCCATTCTGCTACAGAAAAAGATTTAAAATACCACTCAGTGGCAGAAACTGATTTAAAACAAACAATAACTTGTTCACAGTTCTGTTTCAGAGGACTTCACAGTAGTTCTGCCCACTATAAAGGAAATAGGAACTGTTCAAACTCACCTGTGCTGCAAGAAGCAAATTGAGATCTCCTTGCCTTACACAAAAATTTACACCACTAAAGTCTGATCTCTAGAAGCACTGTTATGTTCACCCTGGTACCCACAATCCTAAGGTCTACAGACAACTCTGCCACGAGCAGCACAGAAGAGAGAATCAGCCAGGTAACACAGGAGAAGGACTGAGCTCCACTTCATATTCATTTGGCTACTGGGTTTGCAAGGTGCTAGACACAGTGAAGTTCAGAATGTTCACAGGAGGCTCATGGATAACTGCTTTAACCAGAGAAGTTTTCAAAGCACTGGAAAGACCCTGAATTATGTATCTTCTGTCTTGGTTCTGTAACTGTACTTTTCTGTTCACAGAATATTTGCTGACCTTTCTTCCCACCACCACCATCTTTAGCTTCCCCTAAAATGCCTGTTTCTAAATGAAATCCCTCATTACTAGCCAGCAAAGAGGGAAAAAAACCAAACAAATAAACAAAGACCCAACCAAACAAAAAAAAACCCCCAAACAAACAAGAAAACAAAGAGAAAAAAAAAATCAAAAACCCACCAAAACTCAGAGAATCTAAATACCTCAAAAAGGGTAAAGAAGCAGAGGTATTTTCACAATACTGGTTCTCTGTGGTATTTTTCAGTTCCTTAAAAATGTCTAAAAGAATAAAAGCTCAGAATTTTGATCTGGCACCCTACCATAAAATCTACCCAAGTATCTGCTGATTGTCCCACCAAGGGAGGGCCAACAGTCACACAGTCTTGAGATTTGAATTCTATGTAATACCAGCAGCTGCTGAGTGTGGGAAGGAAGGGAGCACTAAGAGATCATCCAGCAGCAAGAGGACCTTCAGGACAGGGACAGAAGAAGAAAGGGATGAAAAAATGGTTGGAAAATAGGGGAGAAGGAAGAAAGAAGAACAAGGCTCTTCTTTCAATAGCTGCTTGTCTTCCAGGTTTCCTGGGCTTTCCATTTTGCAAGGTCCAACTTGGGAACACTACAGAAGCCAGAGAGAACTATAGAGAGTACAGAAACCTGGGCAGCAAGCCACTGAACAGTCACAGACCTAACATGGAAAACCAACTAGCATCTTTTTGGCAGGAAAGCTCTCCATGGTGACTGTAGGAGGAGGGAGAACTCAAAAATGGTGCCTAAAGTGAGAGGGTACAACAGATGAGACAACACGATGTATAACAGATAAATAAAACTGACATGGACTACATTCACAGCCTTAAGAAGGTGGTGCTGATATCACCACTGTTGTCCCCCTCCCTCCTTCCCTGTCTCGGTATCATGTGGTGCTTATTGTTATGTGGTGCTTACGGACATGGCTTAGTGGTGAACTTGGCAATGCTAGGTTTATGGTTGGACTAGATGATTGCAATGGTCTTTTCCAACCAAACTACTCTATGATTCTACGACCATGGGTTCCCCTGTGAGCAGAAGGGGGGCTGAATGAGCTGATCTCTGCAGAGGTAATAGCAAGAGCAAGTTTCTACAGTCTTGGTAGCAAAGTAAAGCATGAAGAGCATGGTCAAACACCATGCAGAAAGGGAGATACTGTTAGTCATACAGCACTGCTGGATGCCATGTGGACGCTTCCAAGAGAGATGTCCCACTTTCAAGACAGCTGGACATCTTCCAGCCCCTGAACCAGTCTTCCTTTGCCAGCTGGAAAACTCTCCTTTGCTCTTGAGCTGGCTTCTCACAAACCGTTCTCCAGCCCCTCCAATGGGGCAAGGATAAAGGAAAAGGTACATCTCTGACACCTTGGAGGAGGGCTGAGAGGATGGTATCAAATTCCACCTCTCTGATATTATACTACCATAACTAATTAGAATTTGAGGAAATGGATGATGAAAGACAGCAATAAAATGAAGCAGAGGACAGTAAAATACCCAGACCTTCAGCTGACTATAGGTTAAAGCTTCATGGTCCAAGACATGCACTAAATCAGGGGATTGTCTCCCAAAGGAAGTGCCATAATTTAACAGAGCTTGACTGGACAAAAGCCACTAGATCTGTGAACAGGAACAAGCCTGATTCAACAAGATGGATTGCTCTGAACTCTATCACTCTTTTCCAGCCTCAATGTCCCATCCTAAGATTTTCCTTTGTTTTCTTTCATGCCCAGTCCTCGTCACTTCCTTAAGCCCAAGCTCAACAAAAGTTCCTCTTCTCAGTTAAATTCTACATCCCCAGGACTCCTCATCCCCCGCCCCCACCCAAAGTATGCTATTCTTCACACAATATCCCATTCCATTTAAAGGAAACCTCAACCAGCCATTCACCACCAGAATTATTAAGGCATGTGGTCTTTGCTAAAGCAAAGAATAATTTTGTATTTCTAAATAAATGCAGCTTGCTTCCAGTTACAAACAGATTGCTTCTTAATTGAACTTGGGAGGTGAATTATATGGTGAATTAGGAAAAAAGAACAACTCTGTATTTAGTGAATTGTTCCCCTAAGAGGGAACTGTATGGGATTGAATTGCAAATGATGGCACCAAACCCTACAGCCGGCCCCCCTCTCCTGCACCAGAGCTGCTGACCTCTGCTGTGCTGCAGTGTCATTTGCGCAGACTGCTTTTCCAAGCTGCGAGCACATTCTTTCCCAGAGATCAGTGCAAGCCTTGGTTTCTTATGCAAAGGAGATGTTTGAATAAACTAGTGTGACTAATGAAATCTACAACATCTTTGCATATTTTGTCTTTGCATCTTGCATTGTAGCCCATGAAAAGGGAGAGCACTGCACAAAGGCTAGATATGGGTGTGCAGATACATTGGATATTTTGAAACACTACTAATCTCACTAGTACAGACATGGAGCACCCACACCCTTCTCTCCCACAAGGGTGTTTTTGAATTACACATGAGAATTTTGGAAGATCCTGTTCTGATTCACATAAATTTTTAGACGTTTCCTATCATTATGGTACCTAAACATATCCCAAAGATTAAAGTGACTTGACAGACATTTAGTCCTCTCTTCTGATTCTTCCCAAGAGAAGGGTAAATCATGATCCTAGCAAAACAAAGGTAAGTAACTGACATGCCATAATCAATAAATAAGGAAGGTAAGAAATGCACCTTGCATCTGGAACAACTGCACACAGGTTGCAGGCAACGTGCAGGTCCTGTTGCCCTTGAACAAGTCCCTGAAGTTGTACCTCTCTGATGGACTATTCGGTCATGTCCAAGAGCAGTGCAGATTCTAGCTTTACTGCTCCAGAGCTTGAAATGTCTGCATGTGTATTGAAGCCTATTATCACTAGAAACACTGAAAAGGAGAATGGAGATCTCCAGTTCAACACAATGCTCTGTGGAAAGCCAACACAGTGACAGAAAGACGGGCATGGTCTGCTGCTTACAGTAACTCGTAATGAGATGGGCAGAACAAGACTGATTTTTCTGGGGTTTTTTTAAATGTATATCCAGCAGTTAACAAGCCTTCCAAAATCACTTTCATCCTCAGTACTTCTTATCTGCTGCAGTGCCAGACCAGCCATCACCTTTCTCCAGCCTGTTTAAGCTTCGTCTGCTTCTCCCATAGCCAGGGATGATACAGAATTTGTTAGATCACGCCTCCATGCACAGATCTGTACTAGACCTCCTAAGCTTTTTAACTCCCACATTTTTATGATTAAATC